ACAGAGGTTGTGGCGAACCGAGATTGCAGCATTGCACTCCAGTCTGGGTGACAAGAGTGAAACTAACTCTGTTGCAAAAAAAAAAAAAAAGAAAAGAAAATGGTTGAATGTCACATGGAAAGTTACTTTTAGAGATGGTTATCCACAGCCAGGCGTGGTGGTTCACTCCTGTGATCCCAGTACTTTGGGAGGCCAAGGCAGGTGGATCATAAGGTCAAGAGATAGAGATGGTTATCCAGACACCTATAATATTACATTGTCCTTTTGACTATCTATATCAATAAATTAACCAACATTTTATGACCTGACATGGCCAGGCGCAGTGCTGGATGCTCATGATTCTCAAATAATTCTAGCCGGACCTTGTCCTCAAGAAGCTTCTGAGCAGGTTGAGGGGATACAAAACAGATAAATAGTACTAATGCAGGAGGAATGTGTTAAATGCATGACAACTACCACTAGAATTCAGAGGAGATGAAATTTTGTTGGAACAGAGACTAAAGGAAGGAATTCTGCATGTGGTGGCATTTTGGCTGGACCTATTACAAAAGGTATGCTTCCCCCTGACAAGCCAAGAAAGTGGGGATTAAGGCAGAAGAAAAGAAAAGCTTTGAATTCATGGAATATTAAGGTTTTCCTTGGCTGAAGCATAGGTTACAGTAGGAGGAGATGGACTTGGAAGGATTGCTATAGGCAGAGAGGAAGCGCTGAACTCATGGGGAGGCTATGATTTGGGTTAAAGATAGAGCTGGGTCATGACAGGATGGATCCTGAAGCAGTAAAAAATCCAAGAAAATTAGAAGGCAGCAGGGTCTAGGATGAAGTTCAGGAGGAAAGTCCACGGTCTAGGATGAGAGGTCCTTAGGAGGCTCTTAGGACAGATAAGGTAATAGGTCTCAAAGGGAATGACAGAAATGCAATGAAAAGGGAGAGATTGTAAAGCTAGAAGGCTCAGGAATTGCCTCTTGATTAGGTGAGGAAGGCAAAGGAGAATCAGCCCTGGAAGAAGACAGTGAGATTTTAATCTGGGTGACTGGAGGGACAGGGATCCTGGGCACAGACAGAAGGAAGTTGAGAGGAACACCATGTTTGAGAATGGTGACTCATATTTGAACAAGCCAGCAATGCCCAGGAGACAGCTGGAAAAGTGAGGCTGGAGATACATTCAGCAGTGAAGCCAGAGCAATCTTTACCCTTCTTCACCTGGGAGAGCCAGTAAGTCACGGCTAGAGTCTGTGTGTCCAGCATGTGAGGGTAAAGAGGGAAGCAAGGAGAGCTGGGAGCCCAAGAGTGAAGTTTTTGCCAAAAGGCACGAGAGGAAAGTCGATGTAGCACCGTATACTTTCTCACCTATGCTCACCAAGCCCAGGGACGAGGCTCACAGAGACGAGTTTGGAAGAGAATGCTGGAGAGAAAGTGGTCAAGAAAACTGCCGTTATTGAACCTCTTGGGCTAACTTTGATTGTAAGTCTTGGAACAATCAGAGCCTATGAGGAGACAGCCATCCTGGCTATTCTTCCCATGTCAATAGTGAACACGTGCAGATCCTCTTTCTTTTCTTTCTCCTTTCCCCTCTTCCTCTCTCCTCCCTCCCTGAATACTCTTGCTTATTTTTGGACTGGTCTAGAGCATGGGTGGCCATTGTCGTCCAACAGGAGGGGCCACTGTCGCCAACAAAGCGTAACAGCCTTTCTTCTCAATATTTATCTGTAAATATTTATTGTCAATACTGACTACGGAGAGAGCTCCCTGTGCTTCAACGATGCAATATTGGGGGTCTTTCAAATCATACAAATATATATTTGCATGACGGCTTCATTGACATTTTTATGACTTTCTCCTTCTTTCTTTGTACTGGTCTCAAGAGCCACTCATAAATCTCTCAGTAACTGCATAGTGTCCCAGGGCCAGAGACCGGTCACTCCTGGCATTGTGTAGAGTCATTTAATATCCAAGGTGGTGACTAATGTCTGGCAACAAAGGCTCCATTGGGTGTCATGTGTCCTGGGACCCTGAGCGTGGGCACTCTAGGAGCACCTCATTATTGCTTGTTAGTACTGTGGTCAAGAGAAAAGTTGAGAAAGTGGTCAGGAGGGTGGATCCACATGAACCCCACTGGGACATGAGAGACCTCATTCCTGATCACTGTCAGTGCAACCTGAAATCTTAAAATCAGTTTAAAACAAAGGTATCTACCTTTATCTTATGTTCATATCCTAGGCTTTTAATAATATGTATTTTTCACATGTTTACAGAAAGCAATCAACTGAGCTATTCGTGGAAAGGTTTGTGGGTTTGGTTAAAGAAGTGGAGGAGTATTACATTTCAGCTGGAAACACATCCCTAGAATGCCAAAACATTTATTCCAAAGTCTGGTTTCCTGGTGCAATCGGAGGCATGGCAATGCCTGTGTTCAGAGACTGGGAGCTAGGGCCAGTAAGGCATTTGATCCACATGGATCCCAGAAGGCTTTTATTGTTAAATTATATTCTTTCGGAAAAACCACCCATGTCCTATTTTGTAAACTTGATATCCATACACTTTTGACTGGCAATCTATTTTAGCCGTAAGACTATGATTCACAGCAAGCCTGTTTTTCCTCTTGCTTGGGGTGGCAGCGGAAAGCATAGGGCACTTTCCAGCCTCCAAGGGTAAGGGGCAAAGGTGCTGGGGTTTCTCCTCCCCAGGAAAGCTTTCTCTGCCTGTGCCACGCTGCTCCCTGTGAGCAGACAGCAAATCTCCCCTCACTCCCCACTGCCATTCATCCAGCTCCGTGCAGTAGCCCAGCTGCGTGTCTGCCGGGAGGGGCTGCCAAGTGCCCTGCCTACTGGCTGCTTCCCGAATCCCTGCCATTCCACGCACAAACACATCCACACACGCTCTCTGCCTAGTTCACACACTGAGCCACTCACACATGCGAGCACATTCCTTCCTTCCTTCTCACTGTCTCGGCCCTTGACTTCTACAAGCCCATGGAACATTTCTGGAAAGACGTTCTTGATCCAGCAGGGTAGGATTGTTTTGATTTCTCTCTCTGTAGCTTTAGCATTTTGAGAAAGCAACTTACCTTTCTGGCTAGTGTCTGTATCCTCGCAGGGAGATAAGGATTGCTGTTCTCCATGGGGGTATGTGTGTGTCTCCTTTTTCTTTCAGGACTTGTAGGATTCTTTGTGCCATTTGCATATAATTTGGCAGGTTCAGATTTTTTTAAGAGCCCTATGAAGTGCTTTTTGCATGTGTTTTAAAAAGGCATTTGAAAATTGAAAGTGTGATTTATGTAAACTAAATCATCTGTAAAAAATTGCTTTGGAAAGTAATGATAGCTGGCCGTAAAGGGAAATATCTGTGATGCACCTAATGTGTTTTTAACCCTTTATTTGCTGACAATCTATAGTTATTAATGCTAAACTGGATTTTGGCTTCATACTAAATCAGCTACCTTTGCGTATTGTCCAACAAGGGTCTGTTTTTGTAAGAATGAGATAAAATGTATACTTGATATAAAATAGTCAAAAATGTAACTATTAGTAAGAGTAAGCTTGGCATTTAGGTATACCATGAACACGTTGTCAGATACTCTGTTGGGTGTTAGGGGTAGCAGTTAAAACAAAATATTGATAGTTGTATCAGAGTCTATTAGGCTACAGCAACGGAAGTTTATTAAAAAATATAAACGATCCAAGATGATAGATGCATGGTATACTTCCTGTAACTTTTGTCTCCTTAATATATGTCTCTGTGTGTGTGCATGCTTAACTTTTAATTCAGTTAAAAACTTTTTTCTATTTGTTTTTCATCTGGATATTTGATTCTGCATATCCTAGCCCAATTGAACGGATAAGACTGAGTTGTAGGACTAAAGAATAGACACGCAGAAATGCATTTTAAAAATCTGTTATTTGGACGAGACTGACTATGTAACATAATTGCCAAAGCTTTGGTTCATGACCTGAGGTTATGTTTGGTATGAAAAGGTCACATTTCACATTCAGCTTTCTGAAGTTTTGGTTGCATAACCAACCTGTGGAAGGCATGAACACCCGTGTGTGCCCTAACCAAAGGTTTTTCTGAATCATCCTTCACATGAGAATTCCTAATGGGACCAAGTACAGTACTGTGGTCCAACATAAACACACAAGTCAGGCTGAGAGAGACTGTCAGAAGGTTGTGGAAGGGTCCACTTTGGGAGCATTTTGCAGAGGAAGAAACTGAGGTCCGGGCAGGTTGCATTCTCCTGATGGCAAAATGCAGCTCTTCCTATATGTATACCCTGAATCTCCGCCCCCCTTCCCCTCAGATGCCCCCTATCAGTTCCCCCAGCTGCTAAATATAGCTGTCTGTGGCTGGCTGCGTATGCAACCCCACACCCCATTCTATCTGCCCTATCTCGGTTACAGTGTAGTCCTCCCCAGGGTCATCCTATGTACACACTACGTATTGCTAGCCAACGAGGAGGGGGAATCAAACCGAAAGAGAGACAAACAGAGATATATTGGAGTCTGGCACGGGGCACATAAGGCAGCTCCCGGGAGAAAGCCGGCCCCTGGACTCGACTTTTGCATTTATTTTAAGCCCGGTCTTCCCTGGGCCACCTTTAGCAGATCCTCGTGCGCCCCCGCCCCCTGGCCGTGAAACACAGCCTCTATCCAGCAGCGACGACAAGTAAAGTTCAGGGAAGCTGCTCTTTGGGATCGCTCCAAAACGAGTTGTGCCTGGAGTGATGTTTAAGCCAATGTCAGGGCAAGGCAACAGTCCCTGGCCGTCCTCCAGCACCTTTGTAATGCATATGAGCTCGGGAGACCAGTACTTAAAGTTGGAGGCCGGGGAGCGCGGGAGCTGGCGGAGCGCGTTCGTCCCGGGACTGCACTTGCTCCCGTCGGGTCGCCAGAGTCCACCGGACCCGCCGGCTCCCGGGGCAGGGCCGGGGCCTGAACTCGTGTCGCGTCTCGGCGGGACATGAGCTGCGCCGCCTCTAACCGCGGGCTGTGCTCTTTTTCCAGGTGGCCCGCCGGCTTGTGAGCCTTCAGCGCCGCGGGGACCGGATCTGCTCCCTGCCGGCGGCCTCGGACCATGACCATGACCCTTCACACCAAAGCGTCCGGGATGGCCCTTCTGCACCAGATCCAGGGGAACGAGCTGGAGCCCCTGAACCGTCCGCAGCTCAAGATCCCCCTGGAGCGGCCCCTGGGCGAGGTGTACGTGGACAGCAGCAAGCCCGCCGTGTACAACTACCCCGAGGGCGCCGCCTACGAGTTCAACGCCGCGGCCGCCGCCAACGCGCAGGTCTACGGCCAGTCGGGCCTCCCTTACGGCCCCGGGTCCGAGGCGGCAGCGTTCGGCTCCAATGGCCTGGGGGGGTTCCCCACGCTCAACAGCGTGTCTCCGAGCCAGCTGATGCTGCTGCACCCGCCGCCGCAGCTGTCGCCCTTCCTGCAGCCCCACGGCCAGCAGGTGCCCTACTACTTGGAGAACGAGCCCAGCGGCTACACGGTGCGCGAGGCCGGCCCGCCGGCGTTCTACAGGTACCCGCGCCCGCGTCGCCCGTCGTCGGGGTGGCCGCCGCGTCCGGTGGGAGGGAGGGAGCCGGGGGAGCCGAGGGAACCGCGGGACGTGAGACCCAAGGGCGCGCGCAGGGAGCCCGGGGCGCGCAGCCCGCCCGGGGGTTCTGAGTGCAGCCCGCCTTGCGTTCAGAGTCAAGTTCTCTCACAGGGCAGCTGAAAAAAACGCGCTCTCCGCCCTTCTACAGTCGGTGCGAGAGGCAGACCTGAACGCCCGGGGCTTCCTAACTAAAGACACATTGGAAAACCAGACAAAGCAGCAGTTATTTGCAGGGGAAAACACCTCCAGGCAAATAAACGCGGGGCGCTTTGAGTCACTTGGGAAGGTCCCGCGCTCGGCATTTAAAGCTGGGGTTGTTTGGAGTTAGCGGAGCTCCGCAGAGTTTTATTTAGCCTTTTAATGTTTTTGTTTAATGTGTTCCCCAAATTTCCTTTCATCTGGACTCTTTGATTGGAAATTTGTCCGCTGTGATGACTTACTGGGAAGCGATCCTCCTCCTCCCCACCCCGTGTCCTGGGGCTTTAGAAAGCGATTGGGAGTTGAATGGGTCACAGCAAGTTTCTGATTTCGGAGTTAGCTGGCTGAGTCCGTGCTGGAGCCGGTGGCTGGCATGTGACTTCTGACAGCCGGAAATTTGTAGGTGTCCCGCGATTTAAAAACTAGCCATATGGAAGCCTGAGTGCTTAAAAATAATCTCCCGCCAGCCCAGGGACGAGCCTGTCCCATCTGGGGAGAATACCCCGGAGTGTCCTACGGGGTCAGCGGGGTCTGCGCCTCGCAGCCACTGTCGAAGGAGCGCGGCCAGTCCAGGACATAGGAGAACACTTCATGACTTCAATGTGAAGGTTTTGTATCCTCCTTTTCATTTTTTTTCCAACAAGAATTGTTCTGTCTCCCTCTTCCATTCCTCCCATTTTCCCTTGCCCAGTTTCTCCTTTTTTTTTTTTCTCTTTCCTAATGGGCCTGCAGAGGGATTAGGTGGGCGTTTCCGGTGAACACCTGCCTAGGTGGCCACAGGACAGGTGTACCCTGGAATGGGTTTGGGAGCTTCAGGGCACCACATGGCTGATGCAGAATTAGGCATTTCCCAACTGTACACTGGTGTCTGGACTGGTGTCCCCATATCTTTCTGCTTTGTAAGCCGTGGACCATTTTTTGTTCAGTGTTCTATTTCCAGGGATATTTATAGCAGAAGGAAGGGGACTAAGGTGCAGGTTGGTGCCAGAAGGTGCTGAAGGGCAGATTCTGGGGGTATCCAGCGTGCATCTTCAGCCACCTTAGAGGAATTTAGAACATCCCACAGCCACACAGGTTCAAGCTGTCTTTACTTAAAAGACAAACAATGAACAAAACTTTTAAAAGTTGGCATATTTCAAATTAATTTTACTCCTTTTAATTTAGGGTTAAAATAGAGAAAAAGGAGTTCTTCTGCCCACCTTTTTTTTTTTTAATGGAAGAATAAAATACAGCGATTAAGTCTAATTCCACACAACATTCTAAACTCCTTGATGTGAAGGAAGGCATTGGTATGATGTGAATTCCATAACCTTATGATGGACTCCAGAAACCATTTTCTTTCCTATTTAATTTTCAGTTCTTTTATTGCAAATTAATGCCACTGAATTTCAATGGGCACTAATGAGACTGCTCCTTGGTGGATTATTTACTGCCTTGCTAATAATTACAAAGTGAACCTGGTCAAATACAGAGGGGATCACATCTTATTCAAAATTGTTCATCATCCCAGTGATAAGCAGTATAAGTGTAATATGCCCCATCTTACATTTTTTTTTGCATTAAATGATATTCAGATACTCTTAGAATAATAAAAAAGACAAGGAACTTAAAAATTAAAAAAAAAAAACTTGCAAAAATGGGACTCTGTGTGGAAATTCAGTTTTAGGATGATTTTTCCTGTGTTTTGATTCCTGGAAAGTCTTTCCTCTGTTGTTAGAATTCTGCCTTTTATTAACCAGCAAGGAAAAGAAGCATCTATGCAAGTTCTTCATATGGACAGATGTTATTTAGTATTTTTCCCCTCTTAGCTTTTCTGCTTAAGTAACTCTGAGTATAAAGGAAAGGATTGATTAGCCTCTTTTAGGGAACTTTAAGTTTCTTAAGTAGTTATCAAAAGTTTTGAGGCTGAAAGCAGTATTTTCAAACTGCTTGTCATGACCTAGAGGGTCATGGAATCAGTTTAGCAAGTCTAGAATATTCTTTTAAAAGGAATAAAACAGAAAAGAATATAATAGAAAATATTAGAATGTGTGGTATTTAGTAAGGATAAGTTTTGTTTCCTGAAAATCTGTTTTAATTATACATGCTTCTGTGTGCTGATTGTGATGTAAAATGTATTTCTTACTGTGGGTTGAATTCAAAGAAAAAGTTAGAGAGCTAATGGCCTAAAATATTATATGTTCAGTGGAAAATAAAAAATCAGACAACTGTATGGTTGTTTTTATCTGTACAAACCAAAATGCTATTTTGATTATCCTTATTTTTCCCTTACAAATTAGGCTGGTGCCTTTAGTCAGTTAGGCTAAGCTTTACTATCTGATTCTTAACTTTTTTATTTGTACTGCTCTCCTGAGTGTCATACTGGATGTTCAGAGAATTTATGTGACAGTCACATCATTTAGCTTTGAGATGCTATGGTTACTTTCTTCCATTTCTTCCATAATCTGCAGCCATATCTATGTGTGAAGAAATGTAATAGATAAAATTTCTCTGGGGGCATAACGTAAGAAAGATTGTCACATGCCCCAACAAACTATTGTTAATATAAATTTGTTACTTGGCAAGCTGAAATTTTGCAAGATGTTTCCCCAAATTTCACGATGAAGGAAATGGGGAGTCATCTTATCCTGGGTTCCTTTTCTGAGTTTAGACAACTTAGGAACTTCAAATAAAACTCAAGATGATGCTTAACTATATTATCTATCCTTTTAAAAGTTCAAATTAGGAATTTAATGCCACATGCTTATTTCAGTTTTGTTACTCAGTATTCTTAAACATTAGACTCACTTCTCCAAAAAACTTGGCAAATATATAAACCTTTGCCTCAAAACCAATGCCCTGCTAATTTGTATCCTGGCCATCTGCATATTTTGGACAACTAATTTGTCCACTGGTGATCATTTAAAACTCTTTCTTATCTTTGAACAGAGACTGATTTCCAAAGTGAGATTTAAGTGACTAACTTTCAAGTTTCCAATACATTTTTTTCTTTTACTTAGGTAACATTTCAGCCCCGTTTCTTTCTGACCTTACTTTTTTTGTTAATTTAAATGGTTACTGATTACCTGGCACTTTGTGCTGGTCTAAGAATAGTCCGAGGAGTCACATATTCCCTCATGAATGAACGTATTTTCAGATGAAAACGGAATCACATCTTCAATCCCCATTTCATTTTCACCTCCTCCATGTGGCTTGTACCTGTTTGGAAGAAAGCTCCTGAAGGATAATTGCCACTTATTCTAATCTTCTTTCTCACACTCATTTAATTTGGATCCCTGGATATAGTTGTTATTTACTTTTGTGAATATATTTAGGCTATGACATTCATAATTTGGGAAAATTCTTAGGTTTGAGAATTTTGGTTTCTTATAGTTTTAAGGATCTGTATGACAGGTGTAAGAACCTGCCAAAGGAAGGAACATAGATATCAGGAAAAACTAGAAAAGATGCCAGACTTATCATTAATGATGAGACAATAGTAACTTTGTCAAGTGAGACTGTATATGTGAAAGCGGTATAGAAGCTAAACAAGCATTAGGTTTTTTTACTATTTTATTCACATGTTAATATTTGTTTTGGTGCTTTCATAGGCTAAAGAGCAGGGAAAAAACAGATTTAAGTGGTCAGGAGTTTTGTTATAAATATGGAATGATGGTTATATAAAATATCTTTCTGTGGAAGTCAAATTTAAGTAAAATCTTTATCACTATCTGAAACATTTATCTGCAGCTGGCTTATTAGGTTATCAGAAAGAACATTTATTTTACAGATACGTTTTAAAAATGTCAAAACCCTGATTATGTGAAAACAATTTTACATAAGGAAATATATGAATTTTTAATTATATTTTTCTGAAATCCATACTCAGCACGAAATTAATACATCTTAACCCCTCCCTGTGACTTCATTATTATTTTTAATGTAACTTTAGAAGAACCCAGTAGAGAGAGCAGCGTGCTAAGCATGTTTCTTTCTTTTCCAGACAACTTTGAATGGAGAGGAGCAAATTAGTCTTTTGGTTTAATTCTGTCTCAGTTTGCTAATCTAAAAAAGAAAAACAGAGTGGCTACAATTGTTTAGAACCAGATGCATACCCCAGGGAAAGATGCTGTATTAATCCAAAAAATACTGCCACTTGAATGCAAACCAGCCAAAGCGAAAGTGTAAGGGATTTCATGGAAAGGAGGTAGTTCATCAAAGTTATTGAGGAGTTTTGTATTTTAAACTCTGCCATTGAATTGACGTGTAATGTCACTTAAAAAAAAAAAGATGTATCTGAGCTGTTCCCTTCTCCAGCTCTAAAATATACTCATACTAATCTCTGAAATCCCAGGACTTACGTGGGCTGGAGGTTGTGGGGAGCACCTTTACAATATTCTTAATCTTATGAGGGAAGAAACCGTAATTGCTGAGTTCTCTGCTTTGGCTAATATCATGAGGGACTATGAAGAAAGCTTTGCATTAATCAATAGCATTTTAAATTATGTGTATATCTTTAGACCCTATTAAAAATAGGAAGCATAGAAAGACAACTATTTTGGTCCTAACCGACAAAATTTTATGTAGTTGAATAAAGTAATAATTTCAAACACCGTGGGCAAATAAGAAAAAGTATGACTTTCTTACAGCCCACTTGTAAGTGATATGGTGTTGGTAATGATCCATGATTTTGATGATGTCAATGATGACGATGGAAATGAAGTGTTAGCCTCAGTTTGGAGAGGTA